TTCCTTGTCTCCGAGTTTACTGAGCCAAGATACACTTTCATGGTGTCCTCCCTGGTTTGAGGTTTGCTCGAGTTACCATTGCTTGTTTTTTTCCTTTTTGCACTGTAAAAAAAAAAAAAAAAAGGTTTTGCTTTTACTAACAAAGAATCTTTACTGCTTCACTCTGCCCTTTTACAAATTCTGAACGTTTAGTATGGCACCCCAATTCTGGATTTGGAAAATCTGTCCTGTATATTATCTTGACAAGCAGTAATATTTATCTAGTGTGAATAGTATCAAGGTCTATCCGTTTGATTTTTCTACTGCGCTAGGGGAACCCGATTTTATTAATAACTAAGCTGTGAAGCAGTTCACCTTTTGTTGCAAGAGGCAAACCTAGATACATTACAGATGTGAAGAGTTAATATTTACTAAATACAGTATACTGAATTCCTTCCCAAAACAGCTAGATAAAAAAAAGAGTTTCATATGTGCCTAAATGGTTTCAAATCATTCACATAATACATATGTACAATGCATATCTATGGTAGTGGGGGGGGAAGAGAGAGGAATGTATTAGTTTCAGGTCTCTAGTTTAGAATATTTCTCTGGAATTTATCCCAGGACATTTCCAAGCCCTACTTACAAGTTAACCACTAGTCAGCTGGTACCAAGTGTGCTGAACTGGGGAAGGGCTTAGGTAATATAAGTGCATGGTATTCTGAAAGGTATTAAAAAGAAAATGCAACCACAAGAGACATGATGGAGTGTCAGTACATAAACACTTTTCAACAGTATACGTTACACACACATCTTAAGATCACACAGGCTGGAGAAAGAATTTTCAATGAAAGCTGTAGATGTAGGAGTTAAAGTCTAAATATCTCAGCAGAGATTCTCCCATGTTGAAACTGCTTTCTACAGTTTTGCTGATGCCAACTGACTCTAAACCCCAGCATATCTGAGCCTGGAAGGATCAATTCAGAAATAGGGTGGAGACGACCTTCCAGAGATGCAGAGAGCACAGCAGCTCCCACCCTGTTCCTGTTTCCTCAGCAAGCCCAGTGGATCTGACTAGGGTTAAAAGAAGGGCTGCCAGGACTCACTGCCATCTCCTGATCCAGCAGCTGCTGTACTAACCTTTGGGGCAACTGGCAGCAGGTGCAAGATAGAGTGGGATGCATGTTACACCAGGGGACAAGTCTAGCACAGCTGGCTATCTCTGCTCCTTACTCTCTTCACTGTCCAGTAGCCCTGTGTACTCCTCAACTGTGGTGAAGGTCTGCACTGTTATTTTCAGTGCTGTATGCTGCAGGCTCCCAAATGGGGAAAACACATTTTTGTAAAAAGTTTTCCACCAGATTCAATCATCACATGAATTTTTTTGGCACTCATATTTTTTAAAGAAAAAAACAACCTGTTTCATTCTGCCTATGCTACGAGAGATATATGTGGGTTTTAGCTGCTATATGTGGTATTATTTTACAAAATAACAGAGTGTGTTTTTATGTGCTTATTCACAGTTCATTGCCTGACTGTTTACTAGCCTACAGTAATCCTATGTATAAAGAAAAAGGGTGTTGTTAGTTGATTTTTGACAGCACAGGTCAGCCTCTGCTTTACTCACACGCTGTCAAATCATATTAAGTATCATATAAGTACAGAAAAAGTGGACATACATATCTTTCAAGATATCTTGCTTTATCTGTTGAGTCAGAGGAATGTTGCACTTTTTCTTTTCAGCAGATTCAGCAAAATATTCAGAGGTCCCATTATAAATGTTTTCTTTCTGCTCCAAAAGAAAACACAGGTTTAAAACACCACTCAGAAGGTACAATTATTGAAAATAAAACTCTACTGCTGAACACTTAAGATTTACAGATGTTCGTTATTATTTTTAATCCAGAGAAGGAGAAGGAAAAGCAACTCAGAAAAAAATATTTGTAATATTATAATATCAGGGACTGCTTAGACGGTTTGCTCCCCTTTCAGACTCCCAATGTGCATATTTCATACGTTAAGATATACCACAAACAAACAAGACTGTAATGTAAAGGATGTAGATTCCAAACCATCTGAGGAAACTGTTGGCAAATATCTGACATCTTTGTGGCTCAAACTGTGACAAATGCCAGGAATCTCTGTTGCAGACAGCAGCATGTTTGTCAGTTTTTTTCTGAAGAGACTGAGTGGCGCAGTGGTCTATACCCTTATTCTCTGAAGAATTCCCATAATTTTCCATGTTTAAAAAAATACGCAGAGTATTACTTGCTCTATTTAAGCAAGTAAGGGTTAAAACTTGTAACACTAACATTTTGATGGTCACGGCTTGTGGTGGTTGGCTACTACAGAACCGCAGAGAAATTCTTTCTGGTCTCAACTAACAGCAGTACCATAGCTTTATATAATACAGAGATATGGAAAAAAGGGGGAAATGCTCTTTCTTTTCAAGCTGTGTGCACTTCCTTTCACAATTAAATAATTTTACAGAGAGTCCAGCCATTTGCTGACTTCATTACTACCTTGCATATTCTTCACATCAGTGTGGTTGCTGAGGCTTTGGACTGAGGAGATAAAACTTGGCACTGCTGGATGGGAGGGAGAGAAGTGGTATTGCTCATAGGTGGGAATTATCTCCTTCTCTTTTGGTACATTCTTCCTACACAATGCAGATGAAGAACCTCCATGGATCCACAGGAGGGGAGTTGCTTCTTGCTCTGCCCTGTGAATCTAGCTGGGGCAGGCAACCAGTGAGACCTAAGGAAAGCCAAGACAGACTATTTCATTGTTTTTAAGGCCAAAAGAGGTCATTCATGATCATTTAGCATGACCTTCTGCATAACAAGCCAATGAACTTGATCCTATAAATCTGTATCATGGTTATGTTTATACAAAGAAATTAGGTGACAGTCCAAGAGACTGAAGTTCTATTTAGCCAAAAAACAATGGGACCATGGACAGCATCAGTGTAAGCTTCCCTTACACTGAGGGCCCAGCTCTAAAGTGATGAGATCTTGCAGAGTCAAATCTCATGCAATCCTTGCCAAGACTGCCAACATGGATGCCAAATATGATGTGGTCACCTGCCTGCTAGGTGTTTCTTTTAAAGACAATAACCAATTGATGAAAAGTAGCACTTAGTGGAAACCTGACATTATAGCAAAGACAAATGAAGACAGTAGACAGATACTAGACTTGCTTGCTACTGTAAGTCAACCAACAACTTGCTGTTCTAGGGGGTGTCCTCTTATATAAAGATTAAAACTAAACTGAATTGTGCAGTGCCTTTCAGATGTGAATAAATGACCCCAGAAAGACACTGAGACAACATAAATGATTTTACTTTTGACCTGAGTTTGGCTTTAAGTTAACAGCTCATAGGCAAAAGGTCACTGCGTTAAATTATACCATCTTAGACTTTTTTTTTTTCAATCACTTGTCGCATAAATAGTGACAAAAAAGGGTTAAGGTGTTAAAACACAGTAAATAAATAAATAAACAACCCCAAAATGATTTGTGTGCGAAACACTTCTGAACATGCCCTGTAAGTACAGTAGATTTTCCTCTTTGAGCCACACCCTGTAAGTGCTGTATTTTGAGAGCTGAACAATTAATATAAGGAGTATGAGTCAGTCTTTGAAAGACTCTGTGGGAACCAGAGAGCCTTTTGCTATTAGGAATGATGTAAACTCCCTACAGCTGGAATAAGTCCACAGCAGAAGGCAACGAGTCATAAATAACAACAGTGGACATTGCATATACCACTAAGATACTCAACTATTATTTGTAAAACTTTATGTTCCTTATTCAGCCTAATCATTTTAGTCAATTTAGCAGAAAAAAAAACAGAAAACCACCCTATGTTTTGGGAATACTATTTATTTCCTATGGGAATTCCAGGCTCGCTAAGGAAAGAAAAAAGGCTAATCTACTCTCATCCTGTCTGGTAATCCCTAATTCCTTTTAGCTAGTGAAATAATTAAAGAAAAATATTCCAGGCATAAAAAGGGGGACAGCAGAAGCAGACATCATATAAACAATGATGCCATGACAGAGAAAAACGTCAAAGAGTCAGACTTGTGACTTGACTCAAAAAAAGCTGCGGGCAGTGGGGGTTGCTGCTAACAAATTAAAACCACATTTCTTGGCAAATTGTTCAAGACAGATATATTTACATTTTTATGAACAGTGGGTGGGCACAAGTAATTAAAATGCTTCTTTACCCCTTCAACTGTCAAGATCCATTAGGAGTCTTGTGTTCTTAAAATTCTAGGGTCAGCTCGTTCCTTTTTGTCACTAAATCCCTGCAAAGCTAGGTTTTCAGAAGGGAGGTTTACAGAGAAAGAGCGGTTACTCCCTGTAAGCAGAGTTCTCTGAAGTTAGTCGTATGTACAGATATTCAACTCTGGACAGTTTTTACCATCTGACATCAAGAGGGAGCACACAGCTTTTTGCTAACTAACAAAGCACATCTATTAGGCACACATTGTGCTTACACTAAGGGAATCAAAACCCACATCCTGTTTAGATCCTTTTGAAAAGATTCTAGGATGCACACAAAAATTGAAAGGTAGAATCAAGGAACTGAAGACTATATAGACAGAATGAATGAACTAACAGAAATATGACAGATAAAATTGTTCCTTGCAGAGTTTTGCATGATACTAAAATTGTAGATACACGAGTTACTCTGATGGCCAAACTACTTCAGCTGAAAACTGCTAAGGCCAGTCTCCACAGCAAATGAAGAATCTTTCCATGGGAATAGGGAGGAAATGTAGTTGGTCTAAGTCTTATATAATATGAAATTTGATTAGATAATCTATTTCTGTTAAAGAAGGAACTAGATTGGATTTGCCCATCAGCTCTTTGCAGAACTCTGCTAGCTCAGACAGTCCATTTGTCAGAGACTGATTTTAATAAAGCTAAGTATCTTCATTCTCCTCACCCTGTTCCCTGGTTGTAGTGCCAGCATAGCTTCCAAAAGCTTCGTTAGGGCCAAGGAGCTAGAAGATGCTTCCATATTACTGTTGCTTGCCCCTAACCTTGGCACAGCTCCCCTCTGGCTGGAAACTGCACCAGCACTACAGCACTGGGAAGAGGATGGGGAGAAGGGATGAAGAGAAGCTGCAGTGATGTGAGCATAGCTTCCAGTTCCCTGGCTCTGGTGCTACTCCTTGCTGCTCAGCCTGAGAGCAGACATGGGCACAGGCAAAGCCCCACAGCTCTGCAGGTTGGATCCATTGGCTCTACCATATGTTGCCAACCCCTGGCCTAGAGGAACTGCTGGTTATGAGAGCCTGCTGACCTTTCTCTTCCAGAACAGATAGGGGGGGATGTTTTGGCCAATGCCAAGAAAAGGGTGAAGACGTCTTATGACTGTGGGCTTTAGATAAGGTACATGTACAGCAGGGATGGACAAAATACAGCACACCGATTGATTGCATCTGGCCCACAGCTGCCCCCATGACGTTCCGCCCGCACCCAGTGATGGCTCTGTCACAGCCCAAGTCCCACTTGGTGTGCACAGCTTCCAAGTGCAATGAGCAGCCACCTGCAGATGGCTGAGTAGGTGGACAGTGGCCTGGAACTGGAGCTAGAACTGGACCCCACATGCTAGGGCAGGAGCCATTCAGCTGCAGCTTCTCCTCACCTGGCTGGCCATGAGATCCCACTTCCCCACGTTACTTGCTGCCTGGAACGGTGCAGTAGGAGGAGGAGGAGCCACTGGAGGAGGGGGAGCTGAGCAGTACCCAGGCAGCTGCAGCAACCCCTCTGGGAAGCTGTGTGCTGGCCTGGCCAGGGCAGTGCCATTGGCAGACATAGGGTGGTGTGGGCAGGAACATGGCATGGGCTGCCCTGGGTGGAAGTGGGCAGGGCTTGGCTGGATGAGGGAGGAGTGGACTACATCTGCAGCTGCACTGTACCACCTGGGTAAACTCTGCTTCACATGCCTCCTTCTCTCCCTCTCCCCAACCTTGACCGGCTCCTGGGACCTAGTGTGTGGGCAGCCCCCACACACCCCATACCTCCCCCCCCCGACACACACAATATATAATATATAAGACTTTATTTTGAGCTATTATGCAATTGCCTGTATACACACTACTCAAAAAAACATAAATCAGGTCAAAAATTTTTCTGAAATAAAATAAAATCTACTAAAATGTGTTATAGTAGAGGTTTGGTTTTTAGTATATGATTTTGTTTTTATCTATATTAAAATGCTAGTGTCTGAAAGATTTCAACAGCTCGCCAAAACTCGTTAAGTGTGCCCCCTCCCCCAGTGTACAGGAACAGTTGTGGGGGAAAAGCACCACCCACCAGAACCTCACTGGAACAGGTTACACAGACAGGCTGTGGAGACTCCATACTTGCAGGTTTTCAAGAGCCGGCTAGACAAAGCCTTGGTCCTGCTTTGAGCAGGGGGCTTGGATTAGATGACCTCATGAGGTCCCTTCCAACCCTAATTTTCCATGATTCTATGATTCTGTGTCAACAGGCCCTCTCACAAGTCTAGCTCCCAGAGCACCTTTCATAGGGAAGGCAGAGAAAGGGTTTGACAGCAAGGTTATATAGCTGTCTACACCAGAGGCAGCCCTCATGCACTTCCTGACTGATGATAACTAGCAGATTTGGTTGGAACCCAGCTGAGCTTGACCAGACATTTTGCATAAGTACACAATACCCAATGAGGCCCTGCAAAACCGAAATTAAGGCTGAATGTCCTTAGAGATTTCATGCGATACCCATGATCCACACTGGTCAACAAAGGAATGCAAGTCACAG